GGTCACAGAAAAAAAAAAATTAGTGAAAGCAACCCGTAACCCATTAGTAGTTGAGAGGATAAGAATATAATCACAAGTCATCAAAGAAATGCAAATTGAAACTACTGGTGAATGGCAGTCACAAGGCTGGTAAGGATGTGGACAAAGGGGAGCCTTTATATACTGCTGGTAGGAAGGCAAACTACTCCAGCCACTGTGGAAATCAGTATGGAAGTTCCCCCAAAGAATCTAAAAATATACCAGCCACATGTCCCAGCTGTTTGACTCCTGGGTATTTACTCAAAGAATTCTAAGGCAACAGGTCACAGAGAAACTTTCACATTAATGTTTATTGCAGCACTGTTCATAAGAGCTAAGTTATGGAACAAACCTAGGTGTCTAACAACAGAGAAATGGGTAAGGAAAATGAGGTATATCACGCCTTGGTCACCAGACAGAAAGAAATCAATCTGGATCTGGACTGGAAGCTTCCTCCCTGCTGGCTAGCCCTTATAGTACCAGAAGGTGCTATGCAGGCTGCCAGGGGAGAACTAACAATCTTGCTTAACTGGGAACCTGCATACAACACTATTGACCATGCAGGAAAGATGTGCCCACTGGTGCAATAGGGCAAGTCTGTTATAGGGGTAATCAATGGCTTTATGATTGGATTTGAGGCCCACTCCACAGGATGGAATTCACTTTTGGTGTTGTAAATCTAGTCAAGTCTTTGACTGGGAAGGTCATAGGCCCTAGTGGGTAAGCTACTACTATTGTTTTTCTAAATTCACATGATGTGTCCATCAAGTTGCCTTCTAAATAGCCCTATTTATGTCCATAGACCAGCACTGCTCTTGGTTTTGCATAGAGAAGGTTCTTTATGTAGAGACTCACAAATGGTTAAAGTGTTGAAAATAAGTGACTGTTGAATGCTTTGCCATAAATGAAACTTCTACATCACCTGTAGAAATGACTTTCACAATATGGACATAATCTGGCCTAAAGACTTTTACCTAACCTTGCAACCAAAAGTTACTGTTTATAATGTAAACAAGCTTGCTGAGTCATGTGCTCCTCTTGTGATCTGGGCATATGACCTTAATCTCTCAGGATCTCCCCTTGTCCTCCACCCAAGATGGTGTGTGAATGTGGGTATGCATGCTGAAAGCAGTGTGCTTTTCTCATTGCAAACAATGAGAGAAATTGAGTGTGTGTGACATTCTAGGCCTAAGGATCAAAGGATGAGATTCTCTGATAATATGAGTGGGTCCTGACTTCTACTTCCCCATTTCATGCTAGAGATACCATTCAATAAATAAGCTGAGCAAGGTCCTAGCTTGGGAGCATGGTTTCGAGAGACAGCTAAAGGAGAAGGTGCTCAGCAGTTTGGGTATGTTCTTAGTTTCATGAATGCTGAGTCAGGCTATTTTTTTCAAGAATCACCATAATTGACTCAGAAATGCCACAATCATCCCCCCAACAAGGCCTAGGAAATATTGTGGAAGAAGGCACACAAAGAATGCAAGAGCTGGAGGAAGTTGGGGGAGTGGTGTGGAATGCTGACTGGGAGATGTGGCTGCTGCACTCTTGAATTCTCAGCAGCTGTGATCATCTGTACAAGTTTAGGCCAGTAATGTATTGTCATGGAGTGGCTTAAGAGGCCCCACTCCTCCCCGAGGAGCTTCAGGCAGGCAGTTAATGGTTGATAGGAGAGGGAAAGACATTTTCTTCAGTGGTATAGTCACTGGCAAGTTGCCCATGCTCCTGTAAGCTACCTTAATGAAACTCATTGGGTCTCACACATACATAAACACACACACACAGACTCACACACCATGAAGGTAGAGAGGAGGCTAGCAGGGAAGAGGAAGGGGATCAGTGGGGGTGAGAGAAGAGAGGGTAAAGGAGTAAATATGATCAAAATACAGTTTATACATGTATGAAACTCATAGTGAAACCCATTATTGTGTCCAATTAATATATGCTAACAAGAATATTAGAGAAAAGAAAATGTAGTATATCTATACAATGGAATTTTTCAGTCATAAAGAACAGTCATGTCACCTGCATGAAAATGTATGCAATTGGGATATGTGTGTGTGTGTGTGTGTGTGTATGCTGTATGGTATATGTATGTGTGCATGTGCGTATGCAGGTGTGCACCCCCCAAGTATTTATGTGTGGAGGTCAGAGAAGAATGTCAGGTGTCTTCCTCTATCTGTCTCCAGTTTATTACCTTGAGTCAGGCTCTCTCACTGCACCTGGGTCTTGCCATTTTTCTGCTACGCTGTCTGGCCAGTGAGCCTCAGTAACCCTCTTGTTTTTGCTTCTTCCAGTCCTGGGGTTATAGGATGTATGCCTGTGCCTAACTTTTTTATGTGGATGCTGGGGATTTGAACTCTTTGCAGCAAGTGCTCTTACTCACTGAGGCATCTCTCCAGCCCCACCTGTGTGTTTCCTAATTTTAAAAATGTATATGTGTTCATGTATGTGTGTGTTTATGTGCACATGTATACAAGAGTTCATGGAGGCCAGAACAGGGCATCAGATTCTCTGGAGCCGGAGTTACAGGTGGTTGTGAGCTACCCATTTTGGGTGCTGAGAACTGAACTCGGGTCATCTGCAGGAGCAGCAAGTGCCCTTAACCATTGAGCCATCTTTCTGGCTCTCTGCTTCTTAACTTTTCACATCCTATGATGTCTTGCTAGTTCACTTTGGGAACTTACCTCTCCCCAAGGGGGACATCAGACAGATTTATAAATGTGGGAAAGTCCAGGTTGTTCAAAACAGGGTAGGCATGGATGGGAATAAGCAAGGTGTCATCTCCCTGAAATTAGTGAGAAAAAAGTCAAGTTTAATATTTGGAAAACTATCATTTTGCGTGGGAGGCAGAGGCAGGCGGATCTCTGTGAGTTCCAGGCCAGCTGGAGCTAGAGGGAGACCCTGTTTCAAAAAGACCAAAAAAAGGGGCTGGAGAGATGTCTCAGCAGTTAAGAGCACTGGCTGTTCTTGCAGAAGATCCAGGTTCAAATCCCAGCACCGACATGGTGGCTAACAAAAGTCTGTAACTCCAGTTCCAGGGGATCCAATGGCCTCTTCTGTCCTCTGTGGGCATTGCACAACATGGGTGCACTTGCATACATGCATGTAATACACACACACGCACATTAAAAAAAAAACCAAAAAAGATTGCATTTCTTTTGTGTGCATGTGCATGTGCATGGTGTGTGCATACGGAAGCAGAGGACAACTTCAGGTGCCATTCTCAAGCACCATCTACATTTTTGTTTTTGAAATAGGGTTTCTCACTGTCCTGGAACTCACCAAGTAGGCTGGGCTTGCTGGCCAGTGAGCTACAGGATCTTCCTGTCTCCACCTCCTCAACACTGGAATTACTATGTCCAGCATTTTTTAAACTGGATTTTAGGGATCAAACTCATGTCCCCATGCTTTGGTAGCAAGTTCTTTACCACTTGAGCTGTCCCTCCAGCCCCAGAAATACTGTTTCTTAGCAATAAACAAAGAACAGAAGATTTTTAAGTGTGCCTTATTAGAACAATATTTGCCATTACCTGAGAAAGCCAAAGGTAATACTTGTCTCAGGTAAGGGGGAAAGCCATTATTTAGAAGCCCAAGAGAAAGCAATCAGCACAGAATTTCCCAGGCTACAGAGCACAGAAAAGAAAGCAGTTTAGTGGAAAGAGAGCCAGAGACTAATTCTACTTTAGCATGATGAATGACATTCAGAGAGGCCTGAGCCCTTTCTAGGCCTCTCTGGTTCTTTACAAAGTGGAGATAATCATACTTTCCCTTGAGGGGATCTTTAAACATTGAAACAGATGGCAGACAGCCTTTAAACATGAAAAGCATTGCATCAATATAAAATGCCACTATTAGCCTTGTGAGAAGAAATGTGCCCAGAGCTTCTCACTCTGGCTTCTTGACTCTAGCTGAGGTCATGAACTGAATGTGAGGGCTACAAAATATTTGGCAATGGTGAAAGATTCCTAAATGTGCAATGACAAATAATTAATTTAAAATCAAATATGTGGTGAATTCGAGATGTTTCTAGTGATACTTGCCCATGTGATATCACTGCAGCCTTGGTTCTGAACCACACACAACAAGTGCCTGTTGTAGTACACATGCCTCACAACACAGAATGCCAGTTGATACTACCCGAAGCACCTCAGCTCAGATTCAGTACTACTGTATGTTATTAATTGTGGAGTTTTTAGTGTACATGTAAAGTATTCTGCTCTTGGGGCTGGAGGATTCAATACTACTGTATGTTATTAATTGTGGAGTTTTTAGCGTACATGTAAAGTATTCTGCTCTTGGGGATGGAGAGATAGCTTAGCAGCTAAGCTAAAAACCTTTACTGTTCTTCCAGAGGACCCAGGTTTGAATTCACTAGTAAACAGGCATAAAAATGAGAAAAAGCCTGACATCTTTGGGTAATGAAGAACAAGGGTGCACTTGCTCACGTGAAGACAATATAGTCATACACATAAAATAAAAACAATAAATAAAATATTTTTTAAAATAAAATAAAATATTCTGCTCTTATAGGAACAAATGGTTTAATTACAGAAAACAAAAACTTTTTATTTTCCTTTTGTCATTCCTCAGTATGTATCAAATTAGTATATCTTTGGATTGTATTATATTAGAAAGTTTGATTTTTGTTTCTTTTTACATTTTATTGTGTGTGCATATGACTGGATGTGTGGTATATGAATGCATGTGTATGTCAGTGTGCACGCTCAGGGAGGTCAGAGGAAGACGTCAAACACTCTGCTCTATCACTCTCTATCTTATTCCTTGAGACAGAGTCTCTTACTGGAGCTGGGCTGGCAGCCAGTAGTCCAAACGACCCTCCTCTGTGTCCTCCCACAGTGCTGGGGTTACAGGTGTGCACATCTATGCCCAGCTTTTTACATGGGTCCTGGAGATTTGAACTCAGGTCCTCATGCTTGCATAGCAAGCACTTAACCTATGAAGCTATCTCCCCAGCCTTGATTTTTTTCCCTTAGATAAAGTTTTGTTATATAGCCCAGCTGGCCTTAAACTTGAGACCCTCATGCCTCCTGAGTGCTGAGATTATAGGTATTCACCTTTTAAAAATGAAATCAAGGCAAAAATGTCTTTAAGACAGACCTTTACTGTACAAATTGTAAGTAATAAAAGCATTAGTTGAAAAGAAAAAGGAAACTCATCTACTACTGAATCATAACCTTCCATTTTAGTTATGAAATGTTAAGAGTGTAGTTAATTTCAAAGCTTCTGGAATTCAAAGACTGGGTTTGCAACAAAGAGAAAGACAGGGTGAGGGTGACCCCAGGTGGAGCTGGCTCGGACTGGAGACCGAAGGATGTATTAAGGGGCCTGGAAAAGGTGCCTAAGAATTCAACAGGTACAAGCATCTCAGTCAGGCCACCAGGGTCCACCTCTGGGAGTGAGGCCCACAAACTCTGTGGATGTTCAGGCCAGCCACCAGTGTTTATAACCACAGAGTGGAGAGCTATTTATTTTATAGCCTTGCACTTAAAGGACTATATTTAAGTTATTTAGTGATGCCTTCTTGGGGCCTTGTACCACAGGATAAATGACGGTTTGGCACAGGCAGCAGGCAATTGCAGCGCATGTTGTCTAGGGGGTCTGTCCAGGTTCTGTGGCCTAGCTCATCCCAGCTAGGATGCAGGTGTACCTATGGACCCCACAACCTCAAACATCATTCAGAAAGTGCTGATAGGTCATTCTGGCCTCTTTTTTCCTTCCTTCAGGATCTGAAAGTTTAGGTGTTAGGTACAAACAGCAGAGATGTACCACACAGTGTTTCTGGAGCCTGCCCAGGATCCCCACCATCTAATCCCATTCCAACAGGTACACCTGCAGGCTCTCTAGCCTCTTATAGCACTGAAAAACTGACAGGTCCCTCTAGCTCTCTTTTGTCCTCTCTTCCAGATATAAAGTGTTACCCTCTCCCTTACCACTACCAACAAATGGCAGCTTCCAGAAACTTACCTTACAGTGAATGCGAATGCAGTCATAATAGTACCGCCACTCATCTGGAGAAAATTTAACAGTGATCATGAGAGACAAGCCAGGGATGAGACGGTGTTCCTGGAAGGTAAGGTGGCGGTTGTCAGGATGGGCCCAGAGCTGGCAGACAGCAGAACTGTAGGGGATAACACAACAGGCCCCAGCAGGCCTGAGACAGAAAACTTCCACCCAGCACAGATCCCTTGAGCAGGGCAGGTGGCCCAGGGACACTTACCTTTTTCTCATAGGCAATCTGAAAGTATTTGGTTTGTGGGGGTAAAATATGAACAGCCGTGTCTTCATCTGAAATATTAGCCAAGTACTGAGAGAGAAAAGGAGGCAATTAGAGTTTGGACACTCTTATTTCTGTACTAATCTCTTCATTTTCTTATACCTCATCTTTATTCCTAGGAGTCAAGGGGATGTGCTTTTAACTTTTTAAAAGATGTGAAATACAGGCTAAGAAGATGGCTCAATGGATAAATTGCTTGCTGGTGTGGTGGTTTGAATGAGAAATGTCCGCCATAGGGTCAGGTATTTGAACAGTTGGTGGTGCTGTTTGGGAAGGTGGTGCAGCCTTGCTGGACGTCAGCATGTCAGCAGAGGTGGGCTTTCAAGGTTCATGGCTTGGCCACACTTCCAGTTTGCTCTGTTTTGTGTTTTTGATTGAAAATGTGAGCTCTCAGTTTCTAGCCCCTGCCACCACGCCTGCTGCTTGCTGCCATGCCTCCCCGCCATGGCAGGGTCCCTGTAGCCCCAGCTGGCCTGGAACTCACTATATAGACCAGGCTGGCCTCAGAGAGGATCTCACAGAGATCTGCTTGCCTCTGCCTCTCGAGTGCTGGGACTCAAGGTGTGCCCACCACACCCAGCTAGATGATGGACTCTTTTAACCCTGGAACTAACTATAAGCCAAAACAAATTCCTTCATAAGTCGATTTTGGTCATGGTGTTTTATCACAACAACAGAAAAGTAACATATACTGGGCAAGCATGAGGAACTGAGTTTGGATCCCAGCACCCATATAAAGACCTGGGTGTAGGAGAAGCACACACCTGTGAACCCCAATGCTGGGGAGGTGTAAACAGGAGAATTCCTGTGGCTGAAAAAGTGAACTTCAGGCTCAGTGAGAGACTCAGAGTGATTAAGGAAGACACTGATGCCCTCTTCTGGCTTCCTCATGCACACATGTGTGCACACCTCTCCACATGTGTGTATATACCACATATACATACACCACATATACATACACAAAGAGGTTGTTAGGGAAAAGTTGACTTTTCCTATCCTTAGAACATCAGTATGTTATATATGTGCATACACTTATATATACTTTCATATATTTACATGTAATATTATGTTTTAATATGAATAGCACACAACTTTTAAATACAATATGTGATACATTTTATTTAAAATTCTAGATTGTCAGTTGATTACCACAAAATGATTTTATTGGGACAGGAAAGATAGCTCAGCAGTTAAGAGTGTTTGCCGCTCTTATAGAAAACTGGAATTTGATTCCCAGCACCCACATGAGATGGCTCACAACTACCTATAACTACAGCTCCAGGGGAAACAACACCTTCTTCTGACCTCCACAGGTACTGCACTCATATGTATACACACACACACACATACACACACACGCGTCACACATAAGGCAGCTCACGACTGACTATAGCTGCAGCTCCAGAGGGTTTGACACCCTCTTCTGGCCTCTGTGGGCACCTGCACACATGCTGCATACATTCATTCAAAGAGCACATAGTCATACACATAAATTTAAAAACAAATAAATAAATGGTTCTATTGATTTTTGCCTAAGTCTTACATCCATAGTCAACCAATAGTTATGGCAAATACATAATGTGGTATTGGAAAAAAATGATGCTCAGGAAAGATGCACTGTGCTTATACCATGGTGTTAACTCCCCTCATGTCCACACCCTGAGGTGAAGCCACTGGTAATCATGGCCCTAATTTTGAGAAGCAACATCTTGGGCACAGCAGAGTCCTTAAAAGTTGTACTAGGCAGTTAAAAGTAGTATTATTGTGGAAAGCCAGAGGGAACTGTTCATTATGGGGTAATAATTTTGTCTGGGGCTGGCTACAGAAAGACTGGGTGTCTCTGAGGAAATCTGATGGATTATTTACTTAATAAATTTGAGTCAAAAATTCTTTCCACAAAGGAGAATAAAGAATGTAAGGAGCCTTGGCTTTAAAAAAACTGAGAATCATTATTTAAAATTTCAAAGTAAATATGCAGATAGAACATTTCAAATCCTTCAACTAGAACTGGATTGATTTCAAAGGTTAATGAACAATTTATTGTAGTTCTTAACATGCATGCAATCATTGTACGCATGGGAAATTTACATAGTATTCTGTGTCAAAAACTAGTAAAACAGAGTAGTGAAATTTCCCTCTCTGTTTGGCAAGAATCTTTTAAAAAAGAATTTATTATTTCTCTATTTAGTTATTTTTAACACAGTGAGTCCAAGTAATACTGCCATATGTGCATGGGTGTAAGGTCATCACTGGGGTGTGAGCAGTGGCCACTCCCACCAAAGAAAAGTGACTCACCCTCCCCCAGCAGCTATCAACTGCCAATAGCTCCTCAGCCAGGAGTGAGGTCTAGGTAGCCCCTCCCTCATCCATGCTGGAATTTTGATTGGCTTGATCTTGTGTGAATCTTGTGCAGATAACCGCAACTGCTGTGAGTTTGTATATGGAAAGCCAAGTTATGTCCAAAATACAGCATTTTATAGCTCTCCTTCCCATCCTCTGGCTGGCTCTTCCATTCTTTCTGGCCCTCTTCCACAATGCAGATGTCTCCCCTAAAGCTGAGCCCTTACAGTCACATATTCACAGCACTTGGAACAGTTATGAGTGTCTACATTTGGCAAGAATCTCAAGGCAATTGCTTTGGGCTACTGCTTACCCTTGTTGGTGGGAACAGGAAGTTGACTTTCCTGATGTCTCCTAGAATGCTTTCAAGGTGAAATCATGTACTTTTATCTGTTTCTGTGTGTTCAAAGGTCTGGTAGAAGCTGTGGGATGGTTTAGACTTCACACTGGTCCTTAGAATGAGTGAAGTCCTTCCAAGTCAAGTCAGTCTTGTCTAAGAGTGAGTTCAGTATCTTTCCTTTGCAAATGTTCATTGAGTGTTTTCTATGTGCTAGGCATCGTGCTGGGCACTGAGGAAGTAACAATGTGAAAAAAGACCTATTCCCTCTGCTCTCCAGCAGGGCAGAGACTTCAAATCTTTAAAAAGTTTTTTTTTAAAGATTGGTTTTATTTCTTTTAAAAAATATTTTGTTTATTGCCTTTATTTTATGTGTATGTGTGCATTGCCTACACTTGTGTCATGAAATGCCTGTGGAGGTCAGAAGAGGGCATCAGATTCCCCTGGACCTGGAGTTATGGATGATTGTCAGTTACCATGTGGGTGCTGGGAATCAATCCTGGGTTTTCTGCAAGAAGAGCCAATGCCCTTAACTGCTGAGCCATCTCTCCAGCACTGATTTTATTCTTAATTATGTTTATGTTTTTGTCTGTCTGGGAGTATATGCACATGAGTGCAGTGCCCTCAGAGGCCAGAAGAGGTGTCGATTCCCTGAATCTGGAGTTACAGGTGATTGGAGCCACCCATGTAGGTGTTGGAAACTGGACTTGGGTCCTCTGAAAGAACAGTATGTAGTCTCTCCAGCAATCTCTCCAGCCCCCCAGATTTCATTATTTATTACAATATTTATTTATTTGGGGTGAGGTAAGGAACATGTGAAGTTTGGAGGACAATTTGTGGGAATCAGTTCTTTCTACCACATGGGTTCCTAGGATCAAATTCAGGTTGTCAGGCTTGGCAGCAAGCACCTTTATCCACTGAGCCATCTCACCAGCCCATTTTGTGTCTTTTTCAACAATTAACCAATGCTCCTTTGCTTCTCATTTATTCTCAGAGGGAATGAGATCACTCATGAGGAAACTGAAATTGAGTCTTAGCAGGTCAAAATGACCTTAGATGTTATGATGGCTTGGGACCTTCCAAAGTCGAACCCTGCCAGACAAAATTTTATTCTTAAGTATTTTTCTTTTATTAATATCTCTTTAGGAGACAATAATGAAAGAAAAGCTTGGGAACCATATCCATCTCCAAATTTCATGAAATTTACCTCAATTTTCTCAAGCACATCATTTTTCTGCAAAAAACAATGAACTTCATTGCTTTCTGAATGACACCATGTTAGTTTCTATTGAGAATTTAATATATGCATATAATGTGTTTGAAATCAAATCTACATCCCACATTCCCTTTTCGCCTATTTTCCTCTTTTAATTTGACTTATTTTTTAAAATTTTATGTGTATGAGTGTTATGCTTGCATGCGTGTAAGTACACCCATGTCATGCAGTGCCCATGGGGGACAGAAGAGAGTGTTTGGATCCCCTGGAACTGGAGTTATGGACAGTTGTCAACCACTGTGTGGGTGCTGGGATTTGAACCTGGGTCTTCTGCAAGAACAGCTAGTACTCTTAACCGCTGAGTCATCTCTCCAGCCCCCAAATTTTAAAAAATAAGTGTATGTGTCTGTGTCTGTGTGTCTGTGTGCATGTGAATCAGTGCCTGTGGAGACCAAAAGAGGGCATTGGATACCTTATAGCTGGATTTACAGGTGGATTTGAGCTACCCAATGTGTGTCCTAGGAACCCAAGTTGGGCCCTCCCTCTTAAGAGCAGTACACCACACCCTTAACTGCTGAGCCATCTCTCTAGCCCTCTCATATTCTTTATGTCAATATTTGAATCCCAACCTACATATTTTTTTTTGAGACAAGGTCTCCCTTTATCCCCAGCTGGCCTGGAACTTGCTGAGATCCACCTGCCTCTGTCTCTCAAGTGCTGGGATTAAAGGTATGTGCCTTTAATGGCCAGCCCAACCACATCTTGAAAAAGAACAAAGTTAATGGCCAGCCCAATGCATATCTTGAAAAAAAAACAAAGTTGATGCACTAGTCAGGGTTCTCTTTGACTTGCTTGAGTCAGATGCCCCTGAATCAGTCGTTTTGGTCCGAGAGAATGTGTGTATTAGAGTGACCCCTGCCTTCCCAGACCCTGACACATTCTCTAGGGCAGACATGGCATCTGACCCCAGCAGGTGAAAGGGAGCCCTGTCTGAGATGTCCTGGGAAAGGGACACCCCTGGTGTTAGAACCACATTGGTTTGGAGGAAGGTAGCTCAGCATGCAGTTACATCCCCATCACTCAATACTCTGGGTGTTGGAACCAGTGGTTTGGCTTTTGAAATCTGGGATCCTTATCTAGGTACCCCTTCCGTAGAGCTAGTGTAGACTAAGAAGATCACATCAACCATGGAGCCCAGTCTTGGTCCTTAGATTGTCTCAGCAGGGACACCTATTTGGAGAATGTTGGGAGGGCCCTTGAGCAGAGCAGGAGTAATCTGTCCAAGGACACTGATGCCCCTTTACAATTCTCATTGAACTACTTTTCTGACCTCTCTCTCTCTCTCTCTCTCTCTCTCTCTCTCTCTCTCTCTCTCTTTCTGTAGGTAGGCCAGAGGTCAACCTTGGGTATGTTACTCAGACATTCTACCTTAAATTTACATTATTCTTAAATTTTTAAATTACATTTATTTATTGGGGAGAGGGAGGTTGCATGCACGTGTCAGAGCACATATATGGAAGTCAGATTCAGGAGTCGATTCTCTCTCTCCACCATGGGGACCCTGGGGACTGAACTCAGATCATTTGGGCTTGGTGGCAAGTGCCTTCACCTGCTGAGCCATCTCACTGGCACCATGTTGTTATTTTTTCTTTACAATTATTTATTCTGTGGGAGGGGACACATGTGCCACAGTACACACCTAGAGCTCAGAGGACAACTAGCTGGGGTGAGTTCTGATCTTCCATCATGTAGATCTCAGAGACTGAACTCAGGTGGTCAGGCTTGGCAGCAAGTGCCTTTACCAGCTAAGCCATTTCATGGGCCCCCAACATTGTTTTTTGAGATAGGTTCTCCCACTATACCTGGAACTTGCCAATTCCTCTAGGCTGGTTCCCTACATATTCACCTGTCTCCATGACCCTAGCACTGGGCTTCCGAGTGCATGCCACCATGCCCAGCTCCTTTACATGATGCTGGGGATCAAACACAGGTCCTCATACCTCTTTACCTCTTGAACTATCTCCCCAGTCCTTGCTCTTTAGATGAACCAGTAACATACATTCAAAACTCACATTATTTTACTATTATGGTTAGTCTCCCCTACTCTTAAGAAGTACCCCATCCTTAACAAGTACCTACCAGAATCTGTTGATGCTGTTTTTCTATTTCATAGCCTCCAAAATGGACTATGCCGGGTCTTGCCTGGATGACCTTATTATTCAAAAGCTTGGCATAAACCTCTATAAAATCAAGGCAGATAAGTCCGTCATGAGACATCAAAGAGAATATTACATTAAAGAATATCCTATTAAGGAGGACTGTCTTTAATTTAGGGCACTTTGAACACATGAAACTTCCAGACTGTTGATACAGTTGCCAATTAGATTAATCACAGGTCCCAAATAAACTGGATGGATTCTCTCTTTCTACTTAACAAAATACTTTTATTTTTATTTATGTGTGTCTATATGCATGTGTGGGTGGGTACCTGCAGAGGCCATAAAAGGGCATTGGATCCCCTGGAGCTGGTTGTGAGCTGTCTGATATGGATGCTGGGAACTAAACATGGTTTCTCCATAAGAGCAGCAAGCGCTCTTAACCCCTGGCTCTTTCTCCAGCCCCTCCCTTGCTACTTTCAAGCATCACTTTTAGATGTTCCCATCACAATACAAATTCATACCATGTTTATTATCTATTAAAGTTATTTAATCTCAGGCTGGAGTACATACTGCTCTTCCAGGAACAAGAGTTTTGTTCCCAAGACCCATGTCAAGCTGCTCAGAACTGCCTGTAACTCCACCTCCAGGGGCTCTGACCCCTCTGGCATCTGAGGACACTGCAGTCATATGCAATATCCATACATAGGCGCACACACATACACATAATTAACAAGAAAATAAATTTTTTTTGGTCTTTTTGAGATAGGGTCTCCTTGTAGCCCCAGCTGTCCTGGAACTCACTATGTAGACCAGGCTGGCCTCAAACTCACAGAGATCTGCCTGCCTCTGCCTCCTGAGTACTGGTATTAAAGGCGTGGGCCACCACACCCGGCCTAATAAAAATCTCTTTTTAAATAAAAAAGTTATTAGTAGCCGGGTGTGTTGGCGCACACCTTGAATCCCTGCACTTGGGAGGCAGAGGCAGGCAGATCTCTGTGAGTTTGAGGCCAGCCTGGTCTCCATTAGTGAATCCAGGCCAGCTGCGCTACAAGATTAGACCAAAAAAAAAAAAAGTTATTAGTTCTCCACATATATTGTGCATGTCTTTGTGTGGTGTACATGCAGGTGTGTGTGTGTGTGTGTGTGTGTGTGTGTGTGTGTGTATGTGCATGTGGAGGCCAGAGGACTAGTTCTGATGTTATTTCTTAGATGCCATCTCTCTCTCTCTCTCTCTCTCTCTCTCTCTCTCTCTCTGAGACAGGGTGTCTCATTGGTCTGGAACTCAGAAAACAAGCTAGGCTGACTAGTTAGCAAGCTCCAAGCCTCAGAGATCCTCCTGTATCCTCCTCTCCAGTGCTAGGACTACAAGCTTACAAGTGTGCACCATCATGCCTGACATTTTTACATGGGTCCTGGAGATTGAATTCAGGTCCTTATGCTTGCAAGACAAGGACTTTACAGAGCTATCTCACCAGCTCATATTGTATATGTCTTTGTAATAAAACATCAACTTGTAAAAGCCTCTCACACAAAGGCTGCAAAATTAGCATATAAGAAAAACTCAATGACAAGGAAAAGACTAGACTCTCTTTCTCCTGCTGGAGTCACTGGCACAGGCACAGAGCCACTCTGGGTGTCTGAAGGTAACCTGTGACTCATCATAATAGTAAAATGCACCCTTGGATGGAGATGAAACTGGTGAGACATGTGATGTATGAATTTGTATTATAAGGCATTTGAAAGAAAGCCTACTCTATGCAAATGACCCCCCAAAGCTCACAATATGAGGCATAAAGCCCTGTAGTGGGGCTGTTTGTGCTTCAAAACTTTCTGCTCTGGTTCACGTCCCCCTCTTTGGAAGTGTGCTATCTTGTTTGTGTGTGTGTGTGTGTGTGTGTGTGTGTGTGTGAGAGTGAGAGAGAGAGAGAGAGAGAGAGAGAGAGAGAGAGAGAGTGAGTGTGTGTGTGAGAGAGAGAGAGAGAGAGAGAGAGAGAGAGAGAGAGAGAATATGTGTGTGTGTGCAGGTATGTGAACATATACAGGTTCTGTGAAGGCCAGAGACCAACCTGTAATATTGTTCCTTAGGAACCGCCTACCTTGTTTTTAGAGATAAGATCTCTCATTTTTACTTGGAACTCATCGATTCACTTCGGCTGACTGGCCAATAGAGTCCCTTTTTCTGCCTCCCCAGCACTGGGATTACAAGTACTTGTCACCATATCTGGCTTTAAGAGTTGGTTTTATGGGACTGGAGAGTTGGCTCAGTGGATAAGAGAACTGGCTGTTCTTGCAGAGGACCCAGGTTCAATTCGATTCCCAGCATTCACATGGGGGCTAACAACTGTCTGTAATTCCAGTTCCAGGGAAATCCGATGCCCTCTTCTGACCTCCTTGGGCATTGCATGACACAGATACACTTAACATACATGCAGGCAATACACTCATACACATAAAATAAAAATAATAAACAAAATACTTTTAAAAGGTTGTTTTTATGTGTATGAGTGTTTTGCCTACATGTATGTAAGTGCACCACAAGCATGTAACACCCACAGAGGCCAGTGGAGGGTGTCAGGTCCAGGTGCTAGGAACTGAACCAGGGTCCTCTGCAAGAGCAGCCCGTGCTCTTAACCACTGAGCCATGGCTTTTTTTTTTTTTTTTAAACATGGGTTCTTGTAATAGTCACTTTTCTGTTACTGTGAAAAACAACTTATAAAAAGAAGAATTTATTTGAGCTTACAGTTCTAGGGGAATTACAGTTCATGATGGCAGGGAGGCATGGTGGCTGGAGATGGCTGGAGCAGGAGGAACAGAAGCTAAGCTCTCACATCATCATGCAGGCACAGGAAGCCAGAAAGCAACTGGAGATCCTGCAAGGCTTAAGAACTCTCTGAGCCCACCCCCAGTGACATGCTTCCTCCAGGACAGTCACCTTTTCTAAAACCTCCCCAAACAACACCATCATCTGGGGACAAAATGTCCAAACACTTGGAGCCTATGGGGGATATTTTCATTCAAACCACCACAGTTCTGGAGATGGAACTCAGGTCCTCACATTTGTGCAGTTAAGTATGTTGCCAAGTCATTTCCCAGCCTATGCACTATCTCTTAATAAATAGACCTGCTTTTGCTGCTCCAAGCCTCTAATGCCTTTTTTTTCTGAATGACAAGAACATGAAACACCACCAGAAGTGCCCTCTGAACCCTAACATCCACCAGTATCATTATTCTTGACCAACCCCCCAAAGCCAGTATTACCACAATGGAGAAAAGGATCCAAGACTCACCAGGAGAAGCAGCTTACCTACAGCTGGTTGTTGGTGACCAAGCCCACATTTGCATGACTCTAGACACTAAGCCACCTGGGGATGTATAATTTATTGCAAATGGTAACCTCTCATCTTTGCTCATATCCAAATCTTGGGAGCCACAGACACTGGTACCCTATTGCTCTGCACCTTGTGGTCCTGGAATATTTTTGAAGTGAGTGAAAACTTTGCTGGTGCGTCCTTCTCACCAGGTTCGTGTTCACTATCATCAGATTTGGGTCATACTAAGGGCCAGAATTAGGTGAGGATGGTGTGTCGGAGGGTATTGTTTGTTCTTTATTTGTTTTTGAGACAATGTCTCACTATAGAGCCCCAGCTGGCCTGCAACTGGGTAAATAGACTGGTATTAAATGTGTGTGCCACCAAGCCCAGCTATTTGATCTTTATTTTTGGTCTTTTTGAGACAGAGATCCACCTACCTCTGCCTCCTGAGTGCTGGGATTAAAGGCGTGCGCCACCATGCCTGATCATTTTTTAAGAGTGAAAATTACCATTATCCAGTTTTGTTTTGTTTTGATTTGTTTGAGGCAGGGTCTCATGTATTTTAGACTGACATTAAACTCATATGGCTGAAGATGAACTTGAACTTTTGATTCTACTTCCTCTACCTCCCAAGTGCTGGGATTATAGTTGTGTGCCACCACACTCAGTTTATGCAGTTTTGGGAATGGGACCCAGGGCTGCATGCATGCTAAGCAAGAACTCTACCCACCAAGTTACATCTCTAGCCCATTTCAGTAAATTTCTTTAATATTGAAAAATATTTGTTTGACACTCATAAAATAGCATTTCTCTGCTCAAGACCAGGATGGACAAGACACTATTATTGCACACTTGATGCAGTTTAAGGTGGCAAAAGAGTCACATCCAAAGATTGTATTGCTAAGCTTTAAGATGGGCCTGAAGCCAAAATCTCACCATGGATGGGGGAGGAGCTCATGAAGTTCCATCCCTACTGAGAAGCTGACTGCTGGGGGAGGGAGACTCAGTATTCTTCTGAAATGGGGCCCCTGAGAGGCTACCCATGCTCTAGTAGATGCTTCTGTACCTATGTACATACAGGTAGCACTAACCAGACACAGAGGGTTTTAAAAAAATGTACACATGAAGTTGGGAGGAAAGTGTGGTGGTGGGTTGGGGCAGAATTGGAGGGAAGGGAATAGGGAGTGGATTTCATCAAAACACATTATATGTGTGAAAGGAATTCTCAATTTAAAAGATTCATTTTTTTTAACTGGATGCAATAGACTTATTTCCTTGCCAATAAACATTCATAGGAAACAAAAAAAAGTGAAGCTTGAAGGATCAGTGTGTATGTGCTAGAAGGGCATGGAGGGTTACTGAGGTTTGTTTGTTTTTATTATTATTATTATTATTTTTGAGACAGGGTCTCCCTATAGCCCCAGCTGGCCTGGAACTTGCTCCAGACTGGCCTGGAACTCACAGAGATCCACCTGCCTATACCTCCTGAGTACTGGGATTAAAGGCATATGTCATCATACCCAGTTGAGAGGATGATTAGTTTTAATGGTGAACCTGACATAGCCTAGAATCACCTAGAAAGAGATTCTATTCTTATCAGACTTAGGGATCACAGCCTATACCCCAATAAGCCAGGTTCAGCCACCCGTCTTCAACAAGCCAATTAAAGGAGCCAAATTAATAGTAAAAAGCAGAAGAAGAGTTATTCAATGTGGCCACATTGGAAGAGGGACAAAGAGATCCAGTGATTCCCCCAAGTCTATCTTCGGGATCCTGACATGAGGATAGGGTTGAAACAGAAAGCAAGAGCTATTAACTAAGTGGTCTGGCCAGCTGTGGTCCCTTGCCCATCATGTCTCAGCTTCAAGTCTCTTCTGCATGGTGTTTGACAAACTGAAATGCTTTCTCCAGGAGACAGTTCCTTCTCCAGAATATCCCAGGACTTCAGCCATTTCCTTTCCCAGTGGAGATTCCTCAGGGAAATTCTAATTTTGGGGTGTCCATTCTTTCATTAGTCTAATAGCTGAAGAGGAGAGCACAAATGTCTGTTTAGAATATGTTCATTTTGGCCAGACAGGTTGGATCCACAAGGAGGGATTGTCTACATTGAGTTGGCCTGTAAGCATGTCTGTGGGGGATTGTCTTGATTGCCTTAATTGATGTGGGAAGACTCTGCCTGAATGTTCATGGCACCATTCCCTGGCTTGGAGTCCTGTACTGTATGAGTAGAAAAAGCTAGCTGGGTACTAGTGTGCATGCATTCATTTCTCTCTGCTCTTGACTGTGGATGCGCTGTGACCAGCTGCTTCAAGTTTCTGCTGCTTGAACTTCCCTGCTATGATGAACTGGAACCTGGAATTGTGAGCTAAATAAGTCCTTTCTCCCCTAAGTTGCTTTTTGTCAGGATATTATATCACAGCAACAGAAATAAAATTAGGATAGGAGGTTACTGAACATAATTGTGGGTCTCGATCAGCTGAACACCAGCTCCTCCCTTAAAAGATGTCCACCTAGGACAAAAGGTGGAGCTTTTCTAGTCTCAGACGCTCCAAAAGTGAAATAGAAATATAATGCTCTCAGGAAGTTGTGTGGGAGTTGATGGAACTTACACACACAGATGAGCCTCTCCCATCAAGCTATAGGATTTTCCAGTGGTTTTCCTGGCTATGTAAAATACTTGAAAACATAAAATGCCATGCACTGATGGAGCTGGGTGACCTGGTGTTGAGAGCTGGGGATGGAAAATGCACTTGTTCTGAAGGGACAGGGTGACCTGGTGTGGCTAGGACTGGGGATAAGTCAGACATGGCATGTGGATGGTGTTGGGTGTTAGTCAGACAGCTCAGGGTGGCGTAAGATAGAGAGGGACAGGAATAATTTAGGGGATATGAAAGAAAGAGAGGAGAAAACTCCCATTAGCACAGAAGCAAAAATTTCAGCACAATTAACAACTGCTGAAGGCCTTTCTCACTTCCCAGCTATAAATCTACAATTTTCTCAGAATCTCACCAGAAACACCATTTATAGGGAAAGGACATGTGGTAAATCCCTTGTGTAACTCTAGTGGCTTCTGGTTTCACCTTATCAGATTATAACTATATCCAAAAATTTTCCAGAGCTACCTTATAATCTCATTTCTCAAAAGAGGTTTGTATGTGAGGGAGGTTTGTGAACAACCTATTGGAGTGTAATCTGAGAGCCACCAAAATGGTCTATATGGCAAATGCTAAAGCACTGAATTGCACCTGGGTGTGGTGGTGCATGCCTTTAATCCCAGCACTCTGGAGGCAGAGGCAGCAGATCTCTGTGTGATCCAGGCCAGTCTGATCTACATATTCAGTTCCAGGCCAAAGGGAGACCCTGTCTCAAAAAGACAAAAAATAAAAACCAAAACACTTAATTGCAACTTTCCCTTGAGCCTATACCCACACTTGGGTAGGTCTTTCTCTTAGAGTTGCCCACATCCTCCCTCTTTGGTGTCTCTTACTTCTGAGTGCCTCTCTTTCTCTTAACCCTTACGCTTAAGCTTATATTAAAATATCTTTATTAAACCCCAGCTCTGCTTCATAAACTGGCTAATTCTGAAATTATATCAAAGCTGTGAATAATGATTTGGTCTGAGTTGAGGTCCTTAAAAAATTAGGGGAATTCCTCAAGCTGTTGAGAGTGACAGTGACAGTCATGTCTTTGTCCCCATATGCTGACCAGGGGCCAAGTGCTAAGCAAAGGAATTGTGATTTCATGCTATACGGAGGGGGAGCCATTAAGGCCTGGAGAGATGGCTCAGTGGTTAAGATCATGTACTGCTCTTGTGAGCATCCATGTTTGGTGGTTCACAACCACAACCGCCTCGACTCCAGCTCCAGGTGACCCAGTGCCTTTTTCTGTCCTCCTTGGGCACATTCACTAGCCATGCCCCCCCATATACATATAATTAAAAATAAAAAATCTGGGGCTGGAGAGATGGCTCAGCAGTTAAGAACACTGACTGTTCTTACAGAAGAC